CTCCGAGGTCCCTCTCACAGTTACTACTATTGAGCATGGTGCCACCTATGCTGTACTTGTGCATTTGGTTTTTCTTGCCTAAATGTAGAACCTTGCTTTTTTCACCATTGAATTTCATTTTGTTAGTTAGTGCCCAGTGTTCAAGTCTGTCCAGATCCTTCTGTACCTGAAGCCTGTCTTCTGGAGTGTTGGCTATTCCTGCCAGCTTGGTGTCATCTGCAAATTTGATGAGTTCCCCATCTATCCCTTCATCCAAATCGTTGATGAAGATGTTGAAGAGTACTGGGCCCAGAACAGAGCCCTGGGGCACCCCACTACACACTTCCCTCCATATAGATGCAGTTCCATTGAGGACCACTCGCTGAGTACGGCCGGTCAGCCAGCTACGGATCCATCTGGTGGTGGTTCTGTCTACCCCACATTTTTCTATCTTGTCAAGTAGTAGGTTGTGATCTACTTTATCAAATGCCTTACTGAAGTCCAAGTAAATTATGTCCACAGCATTCCTCTGATCCACTAATTTTGTCACTTGGTCAAAGAATGCAATAAGATTTGTCTGGCATGATCTATTTTTGACAAACCCATGTTGGCTTTTAGTAATGACTTTGTTTGCCTCTAGGTGTTCGTTGATTCGTTGTTTGATTATCTTTTCCAGGATCTTCCCAGGTATTGAGGTCAGGCTGATAGGTCTGTAATTTCCTGGATCCATTTTTTTTCCTTTTTTGAGGATGGGAACTACATCAGCTCTTTTCCAGTCCTCTGGTAGTTCCCCTGTGTTCCAGGATCTTTGAAAAATATAGTTCAGTGGCTCCGATATCACATCTGCCAGTTCCTTGAGAACTCTGGGGTGTAATCCATCTGGTCCTGGCGATTTGAACTCATCTAGGCTGGACAGGTGCTCCCTAACCATTTTCTTGCCTATCTTAACTTGTGTTTCTGTTTTGTTTTTTATGGGACTATTTTTGATAGGTTGGTCTGTTTTTTCCCTTTGTGTAAAGACAGATGCGAAAAATGAGTTAAATAGTTCTGCTTTCTCCCTGTTGCTTGTCACCTTCTTGCCACTTCCACCCACTAATGGACCAATCATTTCCTTCACTTTTTTCTTGTTCTTTACATGTTGAAAGAAGCTTTTTTTGTTATTTTTGACTTTGGTCGCAAGCCTTAGTTCATTTTGAGCCTTGGCTTTCTTCACTTCATCTTTGCAGGCTCGGGCTATTTGCTGATATTCTGACTTAGTTATGTTCCCCTCTTTCCACTTTCTGTACTTGTCCTTTTTATCTTTCAATTTTTCAGAGAGTTCTTTATGCAGCCATGCTGGTTTCTTTTGAGAGCTGTTATTTTTCCTCTTTGTTGGTATTGTGCTAGACTGTGCTTTTATTATCTCATTTTTCAAAATTTCCCAAGCTTATTGAGTTGTTTTCCCCTTGAGGATTCTCATCCATGGAATCCTTCCCAAGCCCTCTCTAAGTTTATTGAAATTAGCTCTCTTGAAGTCCAAGACTCTAGTTTGACTGTGTTCTATTGGTTGTGCTTCTATAATGTTGAATTCTAATATTGCATGATCACTTCCTCCCAGGGTTCCTATGGCTTCAACACCGTCTATCATTTCATCTCTGTTAGTGAGAATTAGATCCAAAATGGCTAATCCCCTAGTTCCCTTCTCTACTTTTTGGGAGACAAAGTTGTCTGCTAGGTTTGCCAGGAACCTGTTTGATCTTCCACTTGGTGCAGAGTTTGTCTCCCAGTTGATGTCAGGGTAGTTAAAGTCCCCCATTACTATTGTGGTGTGCTTCCTACATACCTTAGTTAGCTGACTAGCAAAAAGTTCATCTATTTCCTCTGTTTGGTTGGGTGGTCTGTAGTATACACCTATGGCAATGTCATTTCCCCCCCCCCCTTTTATATTGACCCAAATGCATTCAAGACAGTTTTTATCATTGTTGTACTCTATTTCTGTGGAGATGTAGTTATTTCTTATATAGAGAGCAACTCCACCTCCTCTTTTATTTGGTCTGTTTCTTTTAAATAATTTAAATCCCTCTAGCTGTGTGTTCCATGTGTGGGTTTCATCCCACCATGTTTCCGTAATGGCAACAATATCGTATCTGCCCTCATTAACCTGAATTTCTAGTTCACCCTGTTTGCTGTTCATACTCTGTGCATTGGTGTATAAACATTTGAGTCCTTTGTGGGTGGCCCTGTGTTTCCTTTCTACATAACCTGTGTGGTGCCTGAGTTCCCCTATTGTCTTACCACCTATTTGGTTAGTGCACTTTATGTGGCACTCGCTATTAGAGGCTTCATTTTGATTGGTAGCAAGGTTGGTATTCTTGTCCACACACACATCTATGCTACATGCACTGATAGCCCTATAGTTTTTAAATTGCCGGGGACAGGGTTGTTCCGTATCAATTAACTCCCTGTCCCCGCTGTTTAGTTTAAATTTCCCTCCAGAAAATCTGTGAATTTATAGCCGAGTAACTCAGTCCCTTTTTTTGATGGATGCAAACCATCTCTTTTGTACATCTTTTGATTGGACCAGCTACTGACATCGTGACTAATATATCCAAAGCCTTCCCCTTTACACCACTCCTTTAGCCACATATTGAATTGTGCTATGCGCTGGCCTTTTCCGTTTTGCTCCTTATACACTGGTAAAACCTCTGAGAAAGTAAGCCTACAGCCTATTCTGCTAAGTTCCTTCCCCAAGCTCTGGAAATCATTCTGCACAGAGAGTACATCTTTTTGGGACAGATCATTAGTGCCAAGATGTACAATAGCCTCCATATCACAGTCCTTGCTGCCATTCTTGATTATTTTAGAAATACGCTTCTTGATGATCATGATGATGATCATGATGATGATAATAATGTTGGAAGGGTCCTTGGAGGTCATCTAGTCCAACTCCCTGCTCAGGCAGGAAACCCTATACCATTTCAGACAAATGGCATAGTTCCAAGCAAGGTGGCATGTTTTTTTTTGTACAATTTAGGTGCTTGGGTCTAATAAATTCAAAATTTCCAAATAATGGAAGTCCTTGGGTATTGCTCTGAGGGTCCTGGTATGAAAATGGATTTCTTTTTCCATAGTTTACTATCTCTTCCTATCAGAGAGCTCACAAAGATAGAGGTTCTGCCTGTTTCTTCCTATTTCCAAACTAAGCTAATTGTGTATAAAAATAAGAACCTTTGTTGATCAATGGTGTGGCTCTCTTGACGAATAATAAATAGCAAGTTGTGTTTCTCCTATCTCCAATTCATCCATTCTCCTAAACTTTTGAAATCAGGCCCCCATCATCTGAGCTGTCTCTATTAAACCAACCATTCTTCAAAATTGGCAGAATAACAGAGTTGAAAGGGACCTTGGAGGTCATCTAGTCCAACCCCCTGCTCAGGCAGGAAACCCTATATACCATTTCAGACAAATGGCTGTCCAGTCTCTTCTTAAAAACTTCCAATGTTGGAGCATTCACTACTTCTGGAGGCAGGTTGTTCCACTGGTTAATTGTTCTAACGGTCAGGAAATTTCTCCTTAGTTCTAAGTTGCTTCTCTCCTTGATCAGTTTCCATCCGTTGCTTTTTGTCCTGCCTTCAGGCACTTTGGAGAACAGCTTGACTCTGTGTCTGTTGATGGAACTGCAATTGGAATTAAACGCCAGTTTTTTTTGGCAAAACCATCATAAAACGTGGTCATATGACAGCAGGTCACATGGCCATAAACGCAGGCCGGTTGCTGAGTACCTGAACAGCAGAGGGAAGGCAACCATCAGAACTTTGAATCTGGGTTGTAAGTACCCCCCAAGCAGGTCCATCAGAACTTCGTCGCTGAAACAACTGGTAATAAGTCGAGGACTACCTGTATCTTTAACTCTAGCAATTTTGCTTCCTGCTTTTGACTCCACAAACAAGAACGATATAAGATTCCAGTTCTCTCCCAATAGATCCAGACAGTCTCAGGGGCCATTCCTGGACTCTCAGCATTCTGTGAAATAAAAATTGTTTGCCAGAAATTGAAGATATTTGGAAAAAAATGTAAACCCATGTCTTTTCGTTACTATTTTGGCTGGGAAATTCTGGGACTTGAAGTCTACACATCTTGAAGTTGCCACGGTTCAGAAACTTTGATATTTGTTGTTGTTATTAATTGCGAAGTCGTGTCCGACCCATCGCGACCCCATGGACAACGTTCCTCCAGGTCTTCCTGTCCTCTACCATCTTCTGGAGTCCATTTAAGTTCACGCCTACTGCTTCAGTGACTCCATCCAGCCATCTCATTCTCTGTCGCCCCCTTCTTCTATTGCCCTCAATCTTTCCCAGCATTAGGCTCTTCTCCAGTGAGTCCTTCCTTCTCATTAGGTGGTCAAAGTACTTAAGCTTCAACTTCAGGATCTGGCCTTCTAAAGAGCAGTCAGGGTTGATCTCTTCTAGGACTGACCAGTTTGAACGCCTTGCAGTCCAAGGGACTCGCAGGAGTCTTCTCCAGCACCATAGTTCAAAGGCCTCAATTCTTTTGCGTTCAGCCTTTCTTATGGTCCAACTTTCACAGCCATACATTGCAACTGGGAAAACCATGGCCTGGACTATACGCACTTTTGTTGGCAGGTTGATGTCTCTGCTTTTTAGTATGCTGTCTAGATTTGCCATAGCTTTCCTCCCCAGGAGCAAGCGTCTTTTAATTTCTTGGCTGCAGTCCCCACCTGAGGTGATCTTGGAGCCCAGAAAAATAAAATCTGTCACTACCTCCATTTCTTCCCCATCTATTTGCCAGGAACTGAGAGGGCCGGATGAACTTTGATATAAGCTCTGGTTAATAAATACACAAACACTTTCTTGGCAGACTTAATTCACAAGTCAGTTAAGATGAACTCTCCTTCCTCCCCAGAGCCCTTACCTCTTGGACTGGGCTGCCTCTTCTCAATCATCCAAATGCTTTCCACGATCTATAACAGATCCAGAGCTCAACTAAATTTGACTTTTCTGGCTTTGTTTTTCCACCCTTAGTCTCCAAACCTTCAGGACTGCAAGTTGCTCCTCAACCCAAGCTGGGGAAACTCTTCGCTTCCAACATCTCTGACACATCTCTCCGTCTGACCTGGCGGGTCCTGACTGGAAAATTTGAATCGTTCAGCATTGAGTACAGAGACGCAGAAGGCAAAACCCAGGTGTCGTCTGTAGACACCAACGCCCGGGATGTGGTCATTTCGAACTTGGTGCCCTCCCACAGATATAAGTTCAACCTCTACGGCATCTCTCAACAGAAACGGTTCGGTCCCGTCTCTACTGAAGTGGTCACAGGTCAGAGGCTCAAATTTCTTTATGAAGAAAAATAAAAGTTGTTCTCTCCCCCCCCCCAGCTGATTATTTCCTTCCCAGGCTGCTTCTGGCTGCCCTGTATGTAAGCGCTATACGTAGAACTTTATATAAGTGGGATGGGCTTCCCCCCAATCCGAGACCATAATGCAGTGATGGTGAACCTTTTAGAGATCAAATGCCCCAAACCAGCCCCTCCCGTCCCGCCTGCTCTGCCCCTCCTCCCGCTCTGCCCCCCCACCCCATGCCCTGCCCGCCCGCAGGGCCACTCACCACCTCCACAGCCCACTGCAGATTGCCCAGGAAGCCCAGCAGTGCCATGGCAGCCATGCCCTCCACCTATGCCCCGAAGCATCAACTGTGCGCGACGGGGTGTGAGGGTGGAGTCTTGTCCCCGCTGCCCGGCTGCCATGTCTTGGCTGCACTGATTCGCACAGACCGCGCCCGGGGGCAACTCTCCTCCAGGGTGGCTGCTGGTGAGGAGGGGGCACAAGGGGAGGCGGGGCTGGGGTAACGGCGTGCGTGCCCACAGAGAGGGCTCTGAGTGCTGCCTCTGGCATGCGTGCCATAGGTTCGCCACCACTGCCATAATGCAAGGACCTTACATATGTCAACATCTTTACCTCTAGAACAGGGACAGGCAACCTTGGCTCTTTTATGACTCATGGACTTCAACTCTCAGAATTCCTGAGCCAGCCATGCTGAGAGGAAAGGGAGATGTTTCCAAGCTGAGCCATGCCGGTTCAGGAATTCTGGGAGTTGAAGTCCACGAGTCATCAAAGAGCCAAGGTTGCCTACCCCTGCTCTAGAAGCTCAAGTAACTCATTTTGCAACTATTAAGCCCACTGCTCAAGTTTCAGCTAGGCTATTAGGATTAAATTTCTTCACAAGCTACTACTAATGTCTTGCTACCGCTGCGTATAAGTCTTTAAGATAAATGAGTTTTTGCTTTCACCTCATTCACCTAAGAAGGACATCTGTATTCACTGAACAGTTTCTGATTTTATGTTTTTCTATCCCTTACCAGAGCATGCCTCTTTTGGGGTAAAAAGGTCGGGGTTCCTCTGATTTTTGCAGAATCCATTCAAGTCCCAGATAGATAGATAGATAGATAGATAGATAGATAGATAGATAGATAGATAGATAGATAGATAGATAGATAGATAGACAGAGAGATAGGGAGATAGATAGATAGATAGATAGATAGATAGATAGATAGATAGATAGATAGACAGACAGACAGACAGACAGACAGACAGACAGACAGACAGACAGACAGACAGACAGACAGACAGACAGGGAGATAGGGAGATAGGGAGATAGATAGAGATAGAGAGAGAGAGAGAGAGAGAGAGAGAGAGAGAGAGAGAGAGAGAGAGAGAGAGAGAGAGAGAGAGGAAGATAGATAGATAGACAGACAGACAGATAGGGAGATAGGGAGATAGATAGATAGATAGATAGATAGATAGATAGATAGATAGATAGATAGATAGATAGATGATAGAGAGAGAGACAGACAGACAGACAGACAGAGATAGGGAGAGAGAGAGAGAGAGAGAGAGAGATAGGAAGATAGACAGACAGACAGACAGACAGACAGATAGACAGACAGACAGACAGAGAGAGAGAGATAGGGAGATAGATAGATAGATAGATAGATAGATAGATAGATAGATAGATAGATAGATAGATAGATAGAGAGATAGGAAGATAGATAGATAGACAGACAGACAGATAGGGAGATAGGGAGATAGATAGATAGAGAGAGAGAGAGAGAGAGAGAGAGAGAGAGAGAGATAGGAAGATAGATAGATAGACAGACAGACAGATAGGGAGATAGGGAGATAGATAGATAGATAGATAGATAGATAGATAGATAGATAGATAGATAGATAGATAGATAGATAGATAGATAGATAGATAGATGATAGAGAGAGAGAGAGAGAGACAGACAGACAGACAGATAGGGAGATAGATAGATAGATAGAGAGAGAGAGAGAGAGAGAGAGATAGGAAGATAGATAGATAGACAGACAGACAGACAGATAGGGAGATAGATAGATAGATAGATAGAGAGAGAGAGAGAGAGAGAGACAGACAGACAGACAGACAGACAGACAGACAGGGAGACAGACAGACAGGGAGACAGATAGACAGATGCTCTGCAAAGGACCCTGCTTTCCCCCCCCCCAGGTTTCCCCCCTGCATTTTACACAATTCATTGAAGTCCTTGCCAAACTCTGACTTTCCACAGAACCCAGCTCAGATACCCGATGTTAGATCCCTCAGCGTTTTGCAAAAAGCACGGCACCTTTTGTGTAACATTTTATAGTTGTTTTTTTTTTCTTCCAGCTCAAGTGAAGGACTCGGAGGCAAAACCCAAACTGGGCGATCTCTCCATCTCCGGAGTCACCAATGATTCTGTCCGTCTTTCGTGGACCGTCTCGTCCGGGAGATTTGACTCTTTTCTTATCCGATACAAAGACGCCCAAGGGAAACCTCAAAACGTGCCTGTTGGCGTGGACTCTCAGACAGTTTTCATCTCTAACTTAATACCGTCTCACAAATACAAGTTCAGCCTTTACGGCATCTCTGGGAAGAAACAGTTTGGACCTGTTTCAATTGATGCTGTCACAGCAGGTGAGTCTCTCTTGGAGCATCCTTGGTGCTCTCTGAGCGTGATTGTTTCCTTGCAGACGGTTCCTTGGCCAAATTAGGTTGCTGTAATAATAAAAATAATAATAATAATAATAATAAAGTTGGAAGGGACCTTGGAGGTCATCTAGTCCAACCCCCTGCTCAGGCAGGAAACACTATATCATTTCGGAAAAATGGCTATCCAGTCTCTTCTTAAAAACTTCCAGTGTTGGAGCATTCACCGCTTCTGGAGGCAAGTTGTTCCACTGGTTAATTGTTCTAACTGTCAGGAAGTTTCTCCTTAGTTCTAGGTTGCTTCTCTCTTTGGTTAGTTTCTATCCGTTGCTTCTTGTTCTGCCTTCAGGCGCTTTGGAGAATAGCTTGACTCCCTCTTCTTTGGGGCAGCCCCTGAGACATTAGAACACTGCTATCTTGTCCCCCCTCGTCCTTCTCTTTGTTAAACTAGACATACCCAATTCCAGCAACCGTTCCTTATATGTTTTAGCCTCCAGTCCCCTAATCATCTTTGTTGCTCTTCTCTGTACTCTTTCTAGAGTCTCAACACGGCATCACAGTGACCAAAACTAGATGCAGTATTCCAAGTGTGGCCTTACCAAGGCATTGTAAAGTGGTATTAACACTTCACGTGATGTCATGGTTCCAAGGGGTGTCAAACTCGCAATGTCACGTGACATGTCGCAACGTAGCTTGACTTTTTTCCTATTGCTGGAACTGGGGTTGGCGCGGTTTTGGCATCACGCATCCGGCCTGCAGGCCAGCAATTTGATACCCCTGCAATAGATGGAACCAAATAAATCAGAATATGGTTATTAAGTGAACTTGGCTCCCTTGTTGACTTTGCTTGTCAGAAGGTCACAAAAGGGGATCACATGACTCTGGGACACTGCAACCGTCATAAATATGAACCAGTTACCAAGTGCCCAAATTTTAGTCACGTGACCATTGGGACGCTACAACAGTCGTAAGTGTACAAAATAGTCATAAGTCGCTTTTTTCCAGTGCCGTTGAAACGGTCACTAAATGAACTGTTGCAAGTCGGGGACTATCTGTATGTCTGTAACCAGAGCATCCTGATCCCAGAAGTTGGGCCTGAGCCAAGTCATTATTCCCCAAGTATCTGTTTTCCATTTTCAAATATATATCTCACCTGCCTGTTTCACAATTTCCAGCGTCTGCCTTCATCAGTCCCTCAGAAATCCATTCTTGTTTCTTCATTTCTGAGGATTTTCAATCGGCCTGGATTTGAAATGAGTCAATTCAGATGCTTGGCGATTGATACATATTTATGATGGTTGCAGTGTCGCAGGGTCACACGATCACCTGCCGCGACTGTTGACCCGGATTTAAAGGACGTGCACATGGTCCCGCTATCTCTGGCCACTTGCAGAACCGTGAATGCAAGGTCATAAAAGGACAGCAAAGGAAACACCCAATATCCTAACCTACCCAAGAACATGTGGCATCTTGTTGTTAGTTGCGAAGTCGTGTCTGACCCATTGTGACCCCATGGACAACGTTCCTCCAGGCCTTCCTGTCCTCTACCATCTTCTGGAGTGCATTTAAGCTCATGCCTACTGCTTCAGTGACTCCATCCAGCCATCTCATTCTCTGTCATCCCCTATTGCCCTCAATCTTTCCCAGCATTAGGCCCTTCTCCAGTGAGTGGCCAAAGTACTTGAGTTTCAACTTCAGGGAAATACCTAAGCCACCCAAAAGGGAACATATGATGTTTTGGGGAAACACCCAAAAGGGCACATTTTTAGCTACTTCTGCTTTCTCCCTTCTTATCTACAATGTGCCAGCCTTAAAAGGCGAAGTCTTTATCTTATGTGTGTCAGCTTTGCTGGGTGAATTGCTTATGTAATCAAAGAAAGCATAATAATAATAATAATAATAATAATAATAATAATAATAATAATAATAATAATAATAATAATAATAATAATAATAATAGTAGTAAAGTTGGAAGGGACCTTGGAGGTCATCTAGTCCAACCCCCTGCTCGGGCAGGAAACCCTACACCATTTCGGACAAGTGGCTGTCCAGTCTCTTCTTAAAAACTTCCAGTGTTGGAGCATTTACTGCTTCTGGAGGCAGGCTGGTCCACTGATTAATTGTTCTCACTGTCAGGAAGTTTCTCCTTAGTTCTAGGTTGCTTCTCTCCTTGATTAGTTTTCACCCATTGCTTCTTGTCCTGCCTTCAGGTGCTTTGGAAAATAGCTTAATTCCCTCTTCTTTATGGCAGCCCCTGAGGTATTGGAATACTGCTATCATGTCCCCCCTTGTCCTTCTCTTCGTTAAAATAGACATACCCAATTCTAGCAACCGTTCCTTATATGTTTTAGCCTCCAGTCCTCTAATCATCTTTGTTGCTCTTCTCTGTACTCTTTCTAGAGTCTCAACATCTTTTTTACATCGTGGTGACCAAAACTGGATGCAGTATTCCAAGTGTGGCCTTACCAAGGCATTGAAGAGTGGTATTAATGCTTCACGTGATCTTGATTCTGATATTTGGGGTTTTTTCTCTTAATAATAATAATAATAGTAGTAGTAGTAGTAGTAGTAAAGTTGGAAGGGACCTTGGAGGTCATCTAGTCCAACCCCCTGCTCAGGCAGGAAACCCTACACCATTTTGGACAAATGGCTGTCCAGTCTCTTCTTAAAAACTTCCAGTGTTGGAGCATTTACTGCTTCTGGAGGCAGGTTGTTCCACTGATTAATTATTCTCACTGTCAGGAAGTTTCTCCGTAGTTCTAGGTTGCTTCTCTCCTTGATCAGTTTCCATCCGTTGCTTCTCATCCTGCCTTCAGGTACTTTGGAAAATAGCTTGATTCCCTCTTCTTTATGGCAGCCCCTGAGGTATTGGAATACTGCTATCATGTCCCCCCTTGTCCTTCTCTTCGTTAAACTAGATATACCCAATTCTAGCAACCGTTCCTTATATGTTTTAGCCTCCAGTCCCCTAATCATCTTTGTTGCTCTTCTCGGTACTCTTTCTAGAGTCTCAGCATCTTAGAGAAGCCCGTCTTTGTTCAGCTGAATAAAAATGTAAAGCTGGAAGGTAACTTCTGGTTTCCTGTATTTTTTTATCAAGCAAAATCTCAGAACTTGCATAGCACGACCTCCTGACAAGCAAAGTCAATGGGGAAGTCAACAAGTTGCCCTTCGTAACTGTGTTACTATTTTAACCCCCCACCCTGGTTCATTTAACAACTGGGGCAAGCAAGGTCGTAACGTCGGGCAAAGGTCGCTTAGCGTACGTCTCATTTAGCAGCAGAAATTTGGGGCTGGCTCGCAATCCTACATCGAGGACCAGCTGTGCAGGAGAGAATGAAAAGGAAGCATACACACACACACACACACACACACACACACACACACACACACACACGTCAGAAGAACAAGCTACAGACACACTGCAAGGGAGCGAGTTTGAAGCATTTGGCTCACTGTTGTTTTGTTAATGAGCTGCCATCTTTGTGATCTGGCCAACCGCATGCCAAAGGAAAAGGAATGTGCTTTTCACACGCAGAAAGTACTTTGTTTTAACAAACCAAGCCAGTAGATCAAGATCAAGGAAAGTCACTACTTTGTACTACATCAATGAGGCCACATCTGGAATCTTGCATTCAGTATGGCTCACTCCCATCAGAAGTGGCCAATATCAAGACTCGCACTGGGGTCAAAACAATGTCATCTACCTTCATTTGAACTAATTCCCAGTTTGCAGCCCCCCTCGCCCCTTTGTGCCCCTCACTGAGCCCTGGTGGCGCAGTGGTTAGAAAGCAGCACAGCCGGCCACTTCTGCTAACTGCCGGCTGCCAGCAGTTCGGCAGTTCGAGTCTTGCCATCTCAAGGTCGACTTGTCCTTCCGTCCTTCCGAGGTGGGTAAAATGAGGAGCCAGACTGGGGGCAACACGCTGATTCTGTAAAACGCTTAGAGAGAGCTATAAAACGCTGTGGAGCAGTATATAAGTCTAAGTGCCGTTGCTATTCTTTCTCCTGCAGCTTTTTCGGAAAGCGCCAGCAGTCCAGCCCCCTGGCTCAGTCCTCTTGTGGTCTCTGAAGTGACCTCTACAACTCTGCAGCTCAGCTGGGATGTCCCAGAGGGGGAGTTTGACTTCTTCATCGTGAGGTGGAAGGACAATTTGGGCAACGGCCAAACACCTGTCCCAGGCAAAGAAGTTAAAGTGCCTGGGGACAAACGCTCCGTCACTCTCCAAGGACTCGCACCCAGTACCGAATACAGCCTGACAGTCTATGGCATCAAAGATGAGTCAGAGGTGGCTGATATCAACACTGGAGCAAAGACAAGCGGGCTAGGTAAAAAGTGGCAGCGTGGGTTAAAACAAAAAATTTTAAAAAACCAAAAGAACAAATACTTCTCAATAAAAGCATTAACATAGTAAGTGGGTGTCAGTCACAAGAAGACAGTTAGCTAGCTGACTAGATAGATAGATAGACATACAGATAGATGGATGATAGATAGATGATAGCCATATAACTAGATAGACAGACAGACAGAGAGATATAGATAAATGATAGACAGACAGATAGATATAGATAAATGATAGACAGACACAGACATACAGACAGATAGATAGATGATAGCTAGATAGCTAGATAATTAGATAGATAGACAGACAGACAAATATAGATAAATATTAGACAGAGAAATAGATACATAAATGATAGCTAGATAGATTAGATAGATAGACAGACAGACAGACAGACAGATATAGATAAATGATAGACAGACAGATAGATATAGATAAATAATAGACACAGATAGATACATAAAGATAGCTAAGCTAGACAGACAGAAAGATAGATAGATATAGATAAAAGATAGACAGACAGACAGATAGATACATAAATAATAGCTAGATAGATAGATAGATAGATAGATAGATAGATAGATAGATAGATAGATAGATAGATAGATAGATAGAAATACGTAGAGAGACAGATGATTAGACAGATAGACAGATAGATATGTCATAGCTAGATAGACAGACAAAGAGCATATAGATTCATTCATTCATTCATTCATTCCTTGACAAAGCTGCAAAGATGCCTGTTGCTTAAAAGCCTTGCCCCATGTCTATTGGCTGGGCTTATGTGATGTCATGAAAGATTAGAATAAGGACCTTTCAGGCAGGTAAAGTAACCCCTTGGGCAATTCTTGGAAGAGAAAGAGAAGACCTGGGAGATGAGATTACGGTGAAGGGTGCCTTGTGGTGTCCCTGACAAATGTGAAGTGAAGGTTTTTGGGAGAACTTGGAACTCATAGAACTGGTGGGAAAATAGTTCGGCTTTGCCAGAAAAGTCTAGGGATCTTTGGCTAGAAATCAGAGGAGGAAGAGAGAAGCGTCTCTGGCCTGTTTTCGTCGTCCTTACAGATTTCACCGGAGAGGCATATCAACCACAGCTGTAGTAGCGCATGATGCTCTTCCTGGTTCCCTCCCTCCACCCTGGGAATTAAGCTAGGAACTACTACAATAGGGGCCTCTTCCTACTTCTGGAGGAAGTCAAGAAATTGTTTTCACAGTTGCCAAGAAACCATGTCCAGAGTCCAATTTCTACTCTCACCTCCAGTACAACCTGCCCTCTCTGTCGAGTTTAGTTTTGAACCGTACCTGCTCATCTGCCCTAGGCAGGCCATTTTGGGTTATCGAGGCGGAGGCCACGATATTTAAGAGCTGGCCTTGTGGGAGACCACAAGCATCTCAACAGCTGTGCAATCTTGGCTTGGTTCACCTTGGGCTGGGCCAGCTTCCAGCTGTGGTTTCTTTCCTAAGCCCTGAGTGATTCGTCTTTGGCACTTTGCTGTTTTCTTTGTGGTTGGCCAGATTGTCCACCGCGGGCCCCAAGAGGGAGGGAGGGAGGGAAAACTTTAAGGGGAAGGGGTGAGCTCGTCAGAGGCCCGTGCCAAACCACAGGCCTCCGTGCTCCTCTCTTCTCTCGAAAGGCCCAGCTGCAGTGCCATCTGGGTTAAAATCCACGAGGACGTTTTTCATTTCTTCCTAAAAGGGGGGTGAGCAAAGCCCCAATTTGGACTGAGACCTTGGGGGTAATGAGAAAGGGAGTTTATTTATTTATTTATTGTAAAAGTTTTTATTAGTTTTTTTCCCCTCCTACATTCAGTAATAATTTTCACGAAGAAAAGGACGAGGGGGGACATGATAGCAGTGTTCCAATATCTCAGGGGCTGCCCCAAAGAAGAGGGAGTCAAGCTGTTCTCCAAAGCGCCTGAAGGCAGGACAAGAAGCAACGGATGGAAACTAACCAAAGAGAGAAGCAACCTAGAACTAAGGAGAAACTTCCTGACAGTTAGAACAATTAACCAGTGGAACAACCTGCCTCCAGAAGCGGTGAATGCTCCAACACTGGAAGTTTTTAAGAAGAGACTGGACAGCCATTTCTCCGAAATGGTGTAGAGTTTCCTGCCTGAGCAGGGGGGTTGGACTCGATGACCTCCAAGGTCCCTTCCAACTTTATTATTATATTATATTATATTATATTATATTATATTATATTATATTATATTATATTATATTATATTATATATTATAACCTGCTGTCTGAGTTTACATTCGTTAATATATATTTAATTCCTAATCCTTTCTTCTTTCCTCTGGCCATCGATAAAATAAGTCCCAAGTTTGATAATATCCCGTTTCTTCTTTTTCTTTCAGTCTCATGGTCAGTCTGTCCATCTCTGTGCATTCTAGTATTATTTTTTTAAATTATTTCTTCATCTGATGGTATTCCTTCATTTTTCCAGCATGGCGCAAATATAATTCTTGCCGCTGTTGTGACGTGCACAATCAAATATCAGCTTTGTTTGTTAGTCTTTTCTGGCATTATACCTAATTTTTAAAAAGTTCAGGTTTAAAATCTACATGTTTAGCGTTTTGTTGGCCATAGCCCCCCCCCACCTGAGGCAGCTTCCCCACATAACCCCTTGCTGCATTTTAAGGCGATCATAACATTTACTCTTCATTTTTGGGTGGTTCTGTTTTATAATAATAATAATAAAGTTGGAAGGGACCTTGGAGGTCATCTGGTCCAACCCCCTGCTCAGGCAAGAAACCCTATACCATTTCAGACAAATGGCTGTACAGTCTCTTCTTAAAGACTTTCAGTGTTGGAGCATTCACAACTTCTGGAGGCAGGTTGTTCCACTGGTTATTTGTTCTCATTGTCAGGAAGTTTCTCCTTAGCTCTTGGTTGCTTTTTTTTCTCCTTGCTTAGTTTCCATCCGTTGCTTCTTGTCCTGCCTTCAGGCACTTTGGAGAATAGCTTGACTCCCTCTTCTCTGGGGCAGCCCCTGAGATATTGGAACACTGCTATCTTGTCCCCCCTCGTCCTTCTCTTTGTTAATCTAGACATACCCAATTCCAGCAACCGTTCCTTATATGCTTTACCAACCAGTCCCTTAATCATCTTTGTTGCTCTTCTCTGCACTCTTTCTAGAGTCTCAACATCTTTTTCAAATCGTGGTGACCAAAACTAGATGCAGTATTCCAAGTGTGGCCTTACCAGGGCATTGTAAAGTGGTATTAAACACTTCACGTGATCTTGATTCTCTTTGTTTTATATTAGAGCAGAGCTCTCCAAAGTTGGCAACTTTAAGACTAGTCTTATAGTTGCCAGGTTCGGGGAGCCCTGTATTAGAGGATTGGAGACCAATGGATGTTTCCTCTTTTGACTAAGAAATTGACTCTTCCTACAAGGATGTCTTCCTTGGATTATTTTCTAGAAAAGCTACACAGATCCATCTCTCACTTGTTCTTTCTTCTTTCAGAGCTGGATGGTCCCCAGGACTTGCGGTTCAGTGACATTCACGAGACCTCTGTGGTAACCAACTGGAGCCCTCCGTCTTCTCGCATCGACGGCTACAAAGTTTCTTTCCAGCCCTCAGATGGGGGTGAGTGTCTTTACCTACTTGTTCCTCAGGAGTGTGTGTTAACACCACGCGGAATGTCTTCGCTGAATTCGCAGCATGTGCCAGAATGAGTTAGGGTGGAATGGAGTTAGGGCAGTGGTTCTCAACCTTTTTAATGCCGCGACCCCCAACTGGTCATAAAGAGCCGAGGTGGCGCAGCAGTTAGAGTGCAGTACTGCAGGCCACTTTAGCTGACTGTGTTCAGCGGGTCAGCGGTTCAAATCTCATCGGCTCAAGGTTGACTCAGCCTTCCATCCTTCCGGGGTAGGTAAAATGAGGACCCAGATTGTTGGGGGCAATGTAAATATATATATACATTGCTTACTGGTGTACACCGCTTAGAGAGTGCTTGCACTTAAAGCGGTATATAAGTCTCATAAATAAATAAATAAATAAATAAATAAGTCGACTCTCAACTGGTGCAGCACCGTTTGCAGAATGGGAACTTTTGGCGGGCTCAGCAGGGCAGAGACAGCCTGGACAATTCCTATTGGCTTTTGAAAGCCAATAGAATTAGACTCTATTCAAGAGAGTCTATTCTATTGGCTTTCAAAAGCCAATAGAATAAAAGGGAATAGCACAGCTAAGGAAAAGGGGAAAGAAAATGCGTTGTTTGGTGACTGCGTTGTTTGGTGACCCCCGTGAAATGGCCGTTCGACCCCAAATGGGGTCCCGACCCATAGGTTGAGAACTACTGAGTTAGGGTTAGCATCTTGAGGAAAAGCCAACTATTACAAACCAGTTTAACGTAGTTTATTTGGGCACAGGGTCATGAGTAGAATTAGGGTTAGAGTTTGTTTGAGCACAGCAGTTGTGTTTTACGAAACTGCATTTAAGATTTATTGTATCGTGTTAATCTAGTTGTGCCTCCTCAATGGTCTTAAAATTTTGTAACAGTGAACCAAGGGTCAACTCTTAACTCTTATTGTTTCCATGTGGTAATGTTGACAGCCAGTTTGGTCTTGTGCCGTGGTGACAAACCTATGACACGCGTGCCACAGGTGGCACACAGAGCCCTCTCTGTGGGCATGTGCGCAGTTACCCCAGTCCTAGGCCTTCAGTTGGGTTTTATAAAATCTTTTCGCTTTAGGCCTCCACTGCCGTGTGCAAAAAAAAAAAAAAAGGTTCAATCAATCAATCAATTTCAACTTCTCGCAAAGTTGGAATTGATTGATTGAACTGTTTAGTCCCATCCAGTCTGCCATTACCATGGCAGTCACGCCCACCCAATGGGCCACACCCAGCCAGTTGGCCACACCCAACCAATGGGCCACTCCCACCCAGCACCCGACCATACATAAGTGGATTTGGGGTTGCAGTTTGGGCACTCAGTCTCTAAAAGGTTCGCCATCACTGGTCTAGTGATTAAAGTGCTGGATTAAGAGTGGGGAAACCTGAGTTGTAATCTTGCCTTAGGCACAGGAATTGAGTTTGAGTTGGCCCCTCTCTCTCAGCCGTAAGAAGGACGTGGCGATAGCAAATCAGAGCCGATCTTGTGGGAGAAATGTTATGATTAAGTCTGCCTGTCATTCAGTGCAGGCTTCTCTAGTCTGGTCCTCTCCAAATGATTCAGACTACAAATCCCATCGTGCTCAGCCAAGGTGTGACTTTCCCATGCTAGCTCGACAAGCTGTCTGTCGTATTGGAGGGCACCAAATTAAAAAGCACATAATCTCTGTCCAGTGCTTCATAGCAATAGCAGTAACACTTATATATCGCTTCATGGTGTTTTACAGCTCTCTCTAAGCCAGTGGTTCTCAACCTTTTTAATGCCGCGACCCCCAACCGGTAGTAAGTCAAGGACTACTCAACCGGTCGTAAGTCGAGGACTACTCAACTGGTGCAGCACCGTTTGCAAAATGGGACTTTTGGCGGGCTCAGCAGGGCAGAGACAGCCTGGACAATTCCTATTGGCTTTTGAAAGCCAATAGAATTAGACTCTATTCAAGAGAGTCTATTCTATTGGCTTTCAAAAGCCAATAGAATAAAAGGGAGTAGCACAGCCAAGGAAAAGGAGAAAAAAATGGCGGACTGCGTTATTTGGCGACCCCCGTGAAATGGTTGTTCGACCCCAAATGGGGTCCCGACCCACAGGTTGAGAACCACTGCTCTAAGCAGTTTATAGAGTCAACATCTCTCTCTCTCTCTCTCTCTCTCTCACACACACACACACACACACACACACACACACACACACACACCAATCTGGCTCCTCATTTTACTGACCTCGGAAGGATGGAAGGCTGTCAACGTTTGAGCCAGTCAGGATTGAACTGCTGGCAGGTGGCAGAGTTAGCCCGCAATACTGCATTCTAACCACTGCGCCACCACGGCTCTTAATACAGCTCATAACAGCTGCAGAGATATATCAGCTCTGTTTTTTTCTGTTTTTAGGGGAGCCCAAGAGCATTTCAGTGGATGGATCTGAACTCAGGGCCCTCATTGAGGGTCTGACTCCTGGGGCCAGCTATGAGGTCGCTGTAATGTCTATACGTGGGTTTGAAGAGAGTGAGCCACTGGTGGGCTATGTCACCACAGGTAATTCATGAGGGCGAGATGCTTAAATGTTATCCAGCAACAGAACTACCTATTGATTGATTGATTCATGTTGATTGATTCCCGTATTGATACACTATGGTTGATTGATTCATTTAGTGCCAGGTCTTTGAGCCAAGGCAACAAAGAGACACTACCCAAACTATCAGGCTGTTATTTCATTGATCTAGTCTTACCAATGAAGGCAAATATATATGTTCCGGGATAATGTTGCAGAATCCAGTCTGGGTCAGTCACTGGGGCCAAAGGCTCCAGCACAAGTCTGAAAGCTTGGAAGACTAAACCTCTGGTCCCGGTGACCAACCCAGATTGGATACTGATCTAGTCTTGCCTGACTAGGATCTACGTCTTCGAAGCTCCCTTTTGCCATACAGCAGACTTCCCCAACTTTTCTGGGTTGGCGGCCCAGGGCAGGGAGAAGAGGGGGGAAAGAGGGCATGGTTTTGTGGGAGAGGCAATGTCAACGCTGCAAATATTGTATATTCTTGCTTTTGACAATATGCAGAATTGTCTAGTAAATATGGGGTTAATAAAGAGCAGAAGAGGCGTTGGGGGTAAAGCTCGGGAAAAAAAGAGGAAGAAACATTTGACCTTCACACTCATTGGATAGTGTGAGATATGACGGCTAATTTAGGGAGGGAACATGTTGATAATTTAACTGCTCAGAGGAAGAGAACTTAGATCCTAGCATCCCCCCGTTGTGCCTGTGCCGACATTTTGTAACAATAAAAGACTTTTAGGAAAATCAATGCCTGGAAGTTCTTTGGAATGTTTCATTAGCCGGAATCACAACAGGCAAGAGCATGCACAGGTATGTGCATGCACGAGCAGCCATTGGTCACTCAAGTGGAGCTGCGAGTGCCCACGACGTTTGCATGAAAGTGGCTGTGAGCACCTACAATGCTGACGCGAATGGGGCCATGAGCACCCATGACACTCACATAAGTGGGGCTGCGAACCCACGTGACGCTTGCCGAGTGAGGCCATGAGCCCCCAAGACGCTTGTGTGAGTGGGGCTGTGTGCATACCAACCACCTACCCGCGTGGCCCAGTTGCGAATAACCATGGACCGGTAGTGGGTCACAGCCCAGAGGTTGGGGACCCTTGCCATATGGTGCCTTTCCAGAAGTCACTGTCTTCCTGTTCACAGTGTGGAAGTTCCTTTGGGTGGAAATATTCAGGCCATCCTCTCTTTCTTTAACTCACAGTGCCAGATGGTCCTTCCGATTTGCGGGCTGTCAATGTAACCGATACCTCGGCTGTGCTGACGTGGCATCCTGCTGTGGCTGAGATGAACAACTACATTGTCACGTATGGACCTATCACCAGCACTGGTAAGAAATAAAAGCTTGTGAAGCATGGGGACAATCGGTTGGCCATAAAACTGCCTGGGGGGATCTTTTCTCTGTATTTACCTAGTCTGCATTCCTTCTCACACACCCCCAGGCTCACAGGTCTCTGAATCAGTACCAGGAAATCGTGTCCAGCTTCAGCTGTCAGAGCTGCAAAGGGACATGGAATATTGGGCCAATGTCTATGGAGAAAAGGAAGGAAACCGAAGTTCTCCCATCAGCGCTTCTTTCACTACTGGTGAGTGTCAATGCTGCTAACATCGGATGTTTTTGCTTTGACAACAGTTGGAGAGGCAACCATTTTGTTCTTATGTTTTACTTTTAGAGCTAGAGCTAGAGTTAGATGATGCTGGGGGGGGGGGATGCACATGAGAGTTCAGCTAGACATAACAATACTGGACCTAGTGTGTGAACCAAGGTTATTGAAATAAGAGATGATAAGCATTGGCGGGCTTAAGAACTGGAGGGAAAGCCTTCATTTCAAACTAATTGGAGAATGTGATTTATGACTGTCAATTGGAGGAGGGAATTGTGCTTTGGTACTATTTGTTTAGGGGAGGGGAATTCAGTTTTTGGCTTCGATTATGTTAGTGCCGATGCTATGCTTCTCAAATAAAGATTCTTTAAGGTAAACAATGCCTCGAAGTTCTTTGAAGAGTTTTATCTGTCGGAACCATGACAGTGAGTGGATGAACTCCATTGCAGTGGTAATAGTGGCTGCACCATTGGAAGACCGGAAGGGCCAGGTTGGGGACAGCCCCTCCTGGAAAGATGTATTTATGAGGTTGCTATCCCTCAACACTTGATGGCGCGTGTTCAATTAACCAGTCAATCCATCAATCAGAGTGGAGAATGGAGTCAGTAGGGATGACTTCTGAAGAGAAAAAAAAGATATGTCTACAAGTAGCCTTTGACTTACAATCACAACTGGGACAAGAAATACCATCGTTAAGTGGCATGGTCAGTAAGCGATGCATCACGTGACCGCAACCAATTCTATGACCTTTTGGCCACAACTATTAAAACGAGATGTCACGTGATGTCACAAAAACAGCTAATACAATCCTTGGTTGCATAAGAAGAGGCATAGATTCCAAATCACGTGAAGTATTAGTGCTGCTTTATAAAGCCTTAATAAGGCCACACCTGGAATAATTGCATCTAATTTTAGTCACCACATTACATAAAAGAGGCTGAGACTTTGGAAAAAGGGCAAAGAAGAGGAACTAATATTATTAAGGGCCTGGAAACAAAAAGATATGAAGAATGATTGCAGGAATTGGGCACAGCCAATCTAGAGAAAAGAAGGGGGGACATGATAGCAATATTCCAGTATTTGAGGGACTGCCACAAAGAGGAGAGGTTCAATTTATTTTCCAAAGCACCAGAAGGCAAGACAAGAAACAAGGATAGGAAACTAATCAAGGAGAGAAGCAACCTGGAATTAAGGAGAAACTTTCTAACAGTGAGGACAATCAACCAGTGGAACAGCTTTGCCTTCAGAAGTTGTGGGTGCTTCATCACTGGAGATTTTTAAGAAGAGACTGGCAAGCCACTTGTCTGAAATAGTATAGGGCAGGGGTAGGCAACCTTGGCTCTTTTATGACTGGTGGACTTCAACTCCCAGAATTCCTGAGCCAGCCATGCTGAGGGGAAAGGGAGAGGTTTCCAAGCTGAGCCATGCTGGCTCAGGAATTCTGGGAGTTGAAGTCCACCAGTCATAAAAGAGCCAAGGTTACCTACCCATGGTATAGGAGGTTGGACTAAAAGACCTTCAAGGTCCCTTCCAGCTCTATTCTGATAGATTGATTGTAATTTGTGAGCTTCCATGCTGGCTTCCTCATTGACTTTGCCATATCTTTGTAACACATCAAGCTGATGTATAACGAAACTGAACACTCAAGGAAGTTTTCTACATTCCAAACCTGATTTTAACATGAGTGAATTTCAGGCATCAAATTTCATTTTGGCTAAAAATTGAGCCATCTTGGAAGGAAATATATACCACACAAATGCCAGGTGCTTGAAGACGAACGAGGCAGCAGAGTTCACGCAATGCTGTAAATCGGGGCTGCTTAAACCAGATTGCCTTGTTTGTCATTCCCTGTCTTAGAATTTCGCAGGAGAATTTTATTTTTTTTAAAACATGAGGCAAAATATCCCTTGGGCTTCATTTCCCAAAAGAACTCATAGATTTTTCTCTGCTCCTCTATAACGCAAGGTAGAGTTAAATTCATCATTGTGCAATTTAGTTCAATTTTTTTTTGTTAATCCTCATCTTCCTCCTCCTGCAGGAGCAGATGGGCCCCGGGACCTGCATGCTACCGAAATTTCACCTCGCAGTGCGCATCTCATCTGGTCATCCCCCAGGGCTTCCCCTGAGGGGTATCTGTTGAGTTATGAGACCCCTGATGGACAATCAAAGGTACCTAACCACATGGCTACTGTCACATACAGGTAGTCCTTGATTTAACAGTCACAATTGAGCCATTGCTGAGACATTTGTTAAGTGAGTTTTGCCCCGTTTTAGGACCTTGCTTGCCACAGTTGTTAAGTGAATCACTGCAGTTGCTAACTTGGTAACGTGGTTGGTAAGTGAATTTGGCTCCCTTGCTTGTCAGAAGGTCACAAAAGGAGATCACATGACTCCAGGATACTCCAACTATCATCAATATGAGTGTCAGGTCCACTTTCATGTCCTGCCATTCTGTTGCGAGGGGGGGGGGACAGTTGCATGTTTGGATGCTTAGGGAAGGGGAGTTGTTTTTGGAGACGAAGCAGACTTCCTCTCAGCCAGTTCCAGCCTGGTTCCAAGGCCGTCATGCCCTGAGAGTGACTTGCTATCTGTCTAGCACCTCAGCATTCTCAAAACATCTTCCTATCGCCTGGTCAGAGGGACTGGTCTGAGGGTTGGGACTTGGGGGAAATGAAAGAATAGCTGTCAATGCCGCTAACATCGGAGGTTCTTGCTTTGATGACATAGGGAGATGCAGCCTTTTTCTTTCCTATGCTTTACTCTTAGAATTAGATGATATCGGGGGAGAAGGAGGATTGTGATGGGAGTTAGTTAGGCATAACAATTCAGGGGGCTTTGAAATAAAAGATGATAAAGAAATGGCGGGGTTGGAGAACGGGAGGGAAAGCTTGCAATTCAAACTAATTGGAGAATGTGATTTATGACTGTAAAATGGGGGGGGGGGGGTGAATTGTGCTTTGATACTATGCGCTCAGGGGAGGGGAATTCAGATTTCGGCTTCGACCATGTATGTGCCGAAGCTATGCTACTCGAATAAAGATTCTTTAAGGTAAACAATGTCTTGAAGTACTTTGAAGAGTTTCATTTGTTGGAACCATGACAATAGCTTTGTGCTTAGTGCGGGATCTTCAGACTCTGCCCGACTATCCTGCAACCACTTTCTCTCAGTAAAAGTTCTTTTGATCATGAATTTTAATCATGTGACCACGGGGATGCCACAATGGTTGTAAGTGTGAAAAATAGACATACGTCACTTTTTTCACTGCCGTTGTATCTTTGAACGGTCACTAAACAAACTGTTGTAAGTTGAGGACTACCTGTATTCCTACTGAACATAAAATACTATATACATTTAGTATAGTACTGTAATAGCCATATGCATATTATTGTTTCCTTGATTGATTAGGTTCAATTGATTGATTAGGTTTATAAAAACTGACCCCTGGATGACTGTTCTTGTACTGTTTGTTTTGTTATGTTTTATGGTGTTTTTATTGTTAGCCGCTCAGAGTCCTCCGGGAGTGGGGCGGCTTATAAATTTTAAAAATAAATAAATAAATACACTGCTTCAGTCTTGGGGACGCTGTGTGGTAAAGTGCTGAAGGTGCTGGATTAAGAGTGGAGAGCCCCAGGTTCTAACCTGCCACCACACACACACACACACACACACACACACACACACACACACAGAGAGAGAGAGAGAGAGAGAGAGAGAAACACACAGAGAGAGGGGGGGGAGAGAAAGATGCCCTAGCCTAGAGTAGTGTTTCTCAATCTTAGTAACTTTAAAATAGGTGGACTTAAACATCCAGAATTCCTCAGCCAGCCATGCTACGTGGGGAATTCTGGGAACTGAAGTCCACAAGTATAGGCCTCGGAGGACTGGAGGAGGCCTCCCAGGCCTAGAATGGCCACTGGAAGTGCATGGATGTCACTTCCGGAAGTCCATTCTAGGCCTCAGAGGCCCAGGCCTGCATTGAATAAGAAAACCAGTTGTTCAGGTATTTGAATTCCACCACTGGCTGGAACCCATCATCAGGGAACTTCTCTCTCTCCAGAATATGTGCACTGGGATATTCTGCATGTTGTATTTATATGGTGCCTGATTGTGTGTTGCTTTTAGTTGTTAATTAGGGTGTTGATTGTTGGCTATTAAGTCATTGATCGCTGTTTCCTTGTGCCACTGCACTCTCAGCTCCTGATAAGCTGATGGTAAATCAGCACGCTTGTTAACTGATAAGCATCTCCCCGCCCCCCGCTTCCCAGGCTTCAATAATATAACTGGCTATTTTTGTCCCTGCTCAGCCAACAATTGTTGTAACTGCAAAATTCAATGCATGTCCTTGCTCATTGCAGTGTGAGGTTGCCAATGAGTTTGGGGTCTCTTTTATGTTGTATGTTCTACTTATTCATTGGTGGAACAGGTCGACTTGGAAAGTAAGGTCTCCCCTTTGCTGGGGGTTGCAGTTAAGTAGCATGTCTTTCAAGATAAATAGAAAAGCTGACGCGTGCACTGAGTAGGGCTTGGATTAGATCAGTGGTTTTCAACCTGTGGGTTGGGACAGGACCCCATTTGGGGTCGAACGACCATTTCACGGGGGTCGCCAAACAACGCAGTCCGCCATTTTTTCTCCCTTTTCCTTAGCTGTGCTACTCCCTTTTATTCTATTGGCTTTTGAAAGCCAATAGAATAGACTCTCTTGAATAGAGTCTAATTCTATTGGCTTTCAAAAGCCAATAGGAATTGTCCAGGCTGTCTCTGCCCTGCTGAGCCCGCCAAAAGTCCCATTCTGCAAACGGTGCTGCACCAGTTGAGTAGTCCTCGACTTACGACCGGTTGAGTAGTCCTCGACTTACGACTGGTTGGGGGCTCGCGGCATTAAAAAGGTTGAGAACCACTGGATTAGATGATACTTACTGTCCCTTCCATGTTTTAATAGAGGAGAATATTTGTGGCTCATGGTTGAACTGTAGTGTCCTCTTTGATGCCCTCTAATCTTGGTTGCTTTTTTTTTTTTTTTTTTGCTAACGTTTCATTCCCCAACTAGATAACATCATCAGTGTACTGATGGCATTATCTAGTTGGGAAACAAAACGTCTGGAAGGAAACCACCAAGCTCAGAAAGCACCAAAGACCCCAACTTTCCACGTTGTAATTTTATGGGAAGTATTTAATACCGTATATTCCGGCGTATAAGGTGACTGGGCGTATAAGACGACCCCCAACTTTTGAGAAGATTTTCATCTTATACACCAGAAAATACAGTACAATATTGAATTTCTGTTTATAGATGAGCACAATAGGAGCTCCATTCCTTTCCTGCTAGAAAGCTTTGTCTATATCAGTGGTTCTCAACCTGTGGGTCTGGACCCATTTGGGGTCGAACGACCATTTCACGGGGGTCGCCAAACAAGGCTGTCCTCCATTTTTCCCCCCTTTTCTTTGGCCACGCCCCTGGCACCCGGTGATGTATAAGTGGTTGGGGGTCACCACAACATGGGGAACTGTATTATGGGGTCACGGCATTAGAAAGGTTGAGAACCACTGGTCTATAGTGTCTATAGTGCTTATTTCTGAAAAAAAATAGGGCTGGCCACTAGGGGGCAGGTTGGTTTTAAATTCAAAGAATAGCTACCCGTATATTCTGGCGCATCTTATGCCGGAAAATACGGTATATTGTTCTCCATAGAGCTGCAACTCAGAGCGCTTATATATTGCCGGCCTAAATTTCCTCACCTTTATTTTGTTCTCCACAGGAGATCCCTCTGGATGCTTCCGTCACCTCATACGAACTTCAGGATCTGATTCCTTCCAGCCGGTACCAGGTCCAAGTCCAGGCAATGAAGAGGGACACTCCAACAGCTCCCATATCCACTTCTTTCACCACTGGTAATAACATTATAGGCTCCCTGATGTGTCTATGTTTGAGACAGACCACCTATGACCCTTTTAGATTTCCTAAAGACCCAAATTGAATGGATCCAGTGATCATCCTTTCTTTCTTGGACAGGGCACCTGACGTACCCCTTCCCTCGGGATTGCTCGGAAGAAATCCAGAATGGGCCAGGACCTTCACGAGTAACAACAATTTATCTAGGGGGCAACCGGGAACGTCCCTTGAAGGTGTTCTGTGACATGGAGACAGATGGGGGAGGCTGGATTGTGAGTATGAACAGTATGGTCGGTGATGGTGATGGTCAACCTATAGTTCAGTGGTTCTCGACCTTTTTAATGCCGCGACCCCCAACTGGTCGTAAGTCGAGGACTACTCAACCGGTCGTAAGTCGAGGACTACTCAACTGGTGCAGCACCGTTTGCAGACTGGAACTTTTGGTGGGCTCAGCAGGGCAGAGACAGCCTGGACAATTCCTATCGGCTTTTGAAAGCCAATAGAATTAGACTCTATTAAAGAGAGTCTATTCTATTGGCTTTCAAAAGCCAATAGAATAAAAGGGAGTAGCACAGCTAAGGAAAAGGGGAAAAAAAATGGTGGACTGCGTTGTTTGGCAACCCCCGTGAAATGGTCGTTCGACCCCAAATGGGGTCCCGACCCACAGGTTGAGAACCACTCTATAGTTGCTTGAAAAGGAATCCTTGTTTCCTCCAGCCATGATTTAATAATAACAATAATAATAACAATAACAATAACATTAACAATAAAAGTTGGAAGGGAGCTTGGAGGTCATCTAGTCCAACCCCCTGCTCAGGCAGGAAACCCTATACCTGTGGTGGCGAACCTATGGCACGCGTGCCAGAGGCGGCACTCAGAGCCCTCTCTGTGGGCACGCACGCCATGCCCCGGAGATGGCAATTGTCCCTCTTCAACCAGCTGCCCGCTAGCTAGCCGAGGTCCATGTGGCTGGATGCATCCCAACACCCATGCGCTCATTGGACTCTGTGTGCAGGGGCCGATGGTATCAGGCAGCAGCTGTCCCAGCCCCTGCCTCGCCTTGCCCTGTGACAGTGGCTCCCCCGCCCTGCCTTGCCTTGCCTCACCCCGCAGGACGAGCCTCCTGCCCACTGCCCCACCTGCCATAGACCCCCTGGATTTCCCCCAACCCTGCCCAGCCCCCACGAGCAACATCGAGGTGATCACGCCCACCTTGGCCACACCCAAACAGTCTGCCATGAGCACCACAGCCATGCCCACCTGGCACCTGGCGATAAATAAGTGGGTTTTGGGTTGCAGTTTGGGCACTCGGTCTCTAAAAGGTTCACCATCACTGCCCTATACCATTTCAGACAAATGGTTGTCCAGTCTCTTCTTAAAAGCTTCCAGTGTTGGAGCATCCACAACTTCTGGAGGCAGGTTGTTAATTGTTCTGACTGTCAGGAAGTTTCTCCTTAGTTCTAGGTTGCTTCTCTCCTTGATTAGTTTCCATCCGTTGCTTCTTGTCCTGCCTTCAGGCGCTTTGGAGAATAGCTTGACTCCCTCTCCTTTGTGGCAGCCCTCTTCTTCATGCATGCTGTTTTTTTCAGCCACAGATGTTGGCAGTTGAAGAATTTAAAATGGTGGGGTTAATGAAGGGAAACAAATGGAAGTCTTTTTTTTTTATTGAAAATTTTTATAAATTTTTACAGAAAAACAAAAAAAATAACAATACAAGAACAACATAAACAAAAAACTAACCATAACAAAACAAAACAACCCTTCCCCAACCCCCCCAAAACATCCACTCCCTCCCCCCCCCCGGAGCTTCCCAGAGCAGAATATAGGCTTAGTTAAAAAAGAATTTAAAAAGTTATATAAAAAAAGAGAATATAACACTAAGATATATGTATATATATAAAAATAAAAGTTATAAAAAAGCTAAGTGATATTTTTTTATATCCAATTTAAATTGTATAAACTATCCATTTATCCCAAACAGCAAGAAATTTCTCTTGCGATTGTTCTTTTAAGAAAGCCGAAATCTTTGCCATTTCCGCCAAATAAGACACTTTAAGGAACCATTCCTGCAAAGTAGGCGAAGATTCCTTCTTCCAATATTGTCCTACTAACAGCCTTGCGGCTGTGATCAAATTTAACATCAATATAACCTCCTTTGTATCACAATCAGTAACTATACCTAGCAAGAATAATTGTGGAGTAAATTTTACCCTCCTTCTAAAAATTCTCTGAATATTCCACCATATCTTAATCCAAAAGGCTTTTATATCTCTGCACGACCACCAAATGTGGTAATAGGTGGCATCCATACAGCCACATCTCCAACATTTAGGCTGTAGGTCAGGGTACATAAAAGACATTTTTTGTGGATCAAGGTGCCATCTATAAAACATTTTGTAGAAATTCTCCCTTAAATTCTGTGCTTGTGTAAATTTAACATTCCTCACCCAAATGGTTTCCCAGGTATCCAATAGGACTGGTTCACCAAAATTTTGCGCCCATCTAATCATACAATCTTTAATTAATTCCGTTTCTGAGTCCAATTCCACTAGAACCCCATAAATTCTCTTAATATGAGTTTGTCTTTGATCCTTCACTTGCTTAATAAAATTTTCATCTTCTCTGAGAAAACCCACCTTACGATCCATCTTCCATCTGTCTACTAATTGCCTGTATTGAAACCAAGAATAAGTAATATTTTCATGTACTAACTCTTCCAGTAATTTTAACTGCCAATTTTGTCCATCCCATCTAAGTAATTGTGTGTAAGACACCGTGTCCATTTTAACACCTCTTTTTATTCCTTCTATCGCATGCCAAGGTATAGCCCATAATGGTACTTTGAAATCACTTTTATAATATTTTCTCCAAACCCTAAGTAAAGAAATTCTTATAATATGAGATTTAAAAGCCCGATCCACTTTTTTATTAAATATTAAATAGGCATGCCAACCAAAAAGTAAATCCCATCCCTCCAAATGGAGTATCTCAAGATTTGTTAAATTTACCCAATCACTGATTAATGTTAAAACCACCGCATCATAGTATAATTTCAGATTCGGTACCTTGAGTCCACAAATGGAAGTCTTTAAAGCAGCATCCTTCTCCAACTTTCCAAATATGTCAGACGGGAGATCCCACCATCCATAGCCAACATGCTATTCTTAGAGAATGGTCATTTTGAGCCAATGGATATACAGTAGAAGGTGCCAGATTAGAAAAGGACTTTCTAGTGCGGAATTTTTCCAAGTTTAAGATGTGCTTGACTTCGACTTTCGGAATTCCCCAGCTAGCCCAATTCTGGGAATTGAAGTCCACAAATCTTAAATCTTAAACTCTGCTCTAGTCTTTAGACCTAGAGAAATCATTATGAAGTTGTGGGACACGGAACCACAATAGAACCAAACTTTCTACTGATCAAATTCAGGACCGGTGAGAAGATAGTCATCTACAAAGAGCACAAATAACACACCGGAAACATGGCAAAAACTCTGCCTCTTACTTATTTGGGTGCAATGTTGTGACTCACATGTGAAAAGGTCAAGCATGTATACTGATGTTAGGACTGCATGTTCCATAATCTGACATACGTAGATGTTTCCATATATTGAGAAAACCTGCTCTCAAAAATCACGTGGAAGAATATCTTGGGGTTTTATTGCTTTCTGGTAATCTGATTACTGTCCATTTTCTTTCCTTCCTTCTGCGTCATGGCATCCTCATTCTTCTCCTCCTCCTCTTCCTCCTCCCCAGGTCTTTCAACGTCGGATGAACGGTGAGACGGATTTCTGGCGAGACTGGCAAAATTATGCTCTTGGTTTTGGCAACCTCACCCGGGAATTTTGGCTAGGTAAGTCTGTAACTTTGCCTCTCCTCATCTCTCTGTGTAGTCAGATATTACCACAATTTCAATCAATTAATCAGAATAGAACTGGAAGGGGTCTTGGAGATCTTCTAGTCCAGTGGTTCTCAACCTTTTTAATGCCGCAACCCCCAACTGGTTGTAAGTTGAGGACTACTCAACCGGTCGTAAGTCGAGGACTACTCAACTGGTGCAGCACCGTTTGCAGAATGGGACTTTTGGCGGGCTCAGCAGGGCAGAGACAGCCTGGACAATTCCTATTGGCTTTTGAAAGCCAATAGAATTAGACTCTATTCAAGAGAGTCTATTCTATTGGCTTTCAAAAGCCAATAGAATAAAAGGGAGTAGCACAGCTAAGGAAAGGGGGGGAAAAATGGCGGACTGCGTTGTTTGGCGACCCCCGTGAAATGGTCGTTTGACCCCAAATGGGGTCCCGACCCACAGGTTGAGAACCACTGTCCTATACCATTTCAGATAGATGGCTGTCCTCTCTTTTCTTAAAAACTTCCAGTGATGAAGCACCCACAACTTCTGAAGGCAAGCTGTTCCATTGGTTAATTGTCCTCACTATCAGGAAGTTTCTCCTTAATTCCAGATTGCTTCTCTCCTTAATTAGTTTCCATCTATTACTTCTTGTCTTCCCTTTTGGTGCTTTGGAAAATAAATTGACTCCCTCTTCTTTGTGGCAGCCTCTCAAATACTGGAATACTGCTATTACATCCCCCCTTCTTTTCTCTAGACTGGCCAAACCCAATTCCTGCCACTGTTTTTCATTTGTTTTTGTCTCCAGGCCTTTAATCACCTTAGTTTTTCTTCTTTGCACTTTTTCCCAAGCCTCAACAACTTTTTTGTAATATGCTGATCAAACCTTGATGCAGTATTCCAACTGTGGTCTTACTAAAGCTTTATAAAGCAATATTTATTTATTTTATTTATTTATTTGAGACTTATATACCGCTTTAAGTGCAAGCACTCTCTAAGCGGTGTACACCAGTAAGCAATGTATATATATATATATATATATATATATATATATATATATATATATATAGGTCTTTGGTTGTTCGGGTTTTCTCCCGCGTAAAATTGGAAGTGTCTTGGCAACGTTTCGACGAAGTCAAACGTTGCCAAGACACTTCCAATTTTACGCGGGAGAAAACCCGAACAACCAAAGACCTATATACAAATACCCGCGAAAACCTCAGAAAACATATATATGTTATATATATATGTTATATATATATATATATATATTTACATTGCCCCCAACAATCTGGGTCCTCATTTTACCTACCCCGGAAGGATGGAAGGCTGAGTCAACCTTGAGCCAGTGAGATTTGAACCGCTGACCTGCTGAACACAGTCAGCTAAAGTGGCCTGCAGTACTGCACTCTAACTGCTGCGCCACCTCGGCTCTTATTCTATTTTGATTCTATGCCTCTGTTTATACAACCCAGGATTGTATTAGCTATTTTTGGCTGCTGCCGCACATTGCTGGTGCATGTTTAAATGATCGTCCACTAGGGCTCCCAAGGTCCCTCTCATCCTTATTGTTTCTGAGTCAGGTTTTGCCTACTCTGTACTTGCACCTTTGGTTTTTCCTGCCTAAGTGTATATTAAATTTATATATCCACATTAAATTTCATGTTGTTGGAGAGGGCCCATTGTTCAAGTCCATCAAGATCTTTTTGGATCCTGAGCTTGTCTTCTGGGGCGTTGGCTATTTCTTCCAGCTTAATGTCATCCTTCCTGTCTTTTTACAAACTGGAAACCGAGGTTGAGAGCCAACAGATGGCTTGTCTCAGCTGAACCCATTTCTGGGCTTCATGCTTGAAACAAGAAAAGAATGAAACTTTGATTCTGACAATCTTGTTACAGAAATGGCTAGCATCACTAAAATAATTGTATGTTGTACTCTACTGAACCAAAAAAAGTTGAAAGTCAATGCTTTTATCTTTCTCTTTTACCTGGCACTCCTCTCTCCCTCTTTACTTTTCCTCATTCTCTCGTGATCTTCATTTCTATTTGTATTTTATACAGTAATAATCTTTAATATTATTTTAAAAATAGAAATGATAATAAGGCTGTACTGCCTTTCCACCGGTTTCATAAGGCAGGGCTTTTCAACCAGTGGTATGGGTACCACCTGTGGTACATTGGCACCTGGCAGGTGGTACGCGACCATCCTATAAAAGTGGGAGCAGGGGAGGGGAATGAGCTGAACTGGTGGCAGCATTGCACAAGCCTGAGCGAGAGATGGCTGGAGCTGCAGGGCTGTCAGGGCTCAGTGGAAGTGCCCGGATCAGTGCCGCTTTCCAGCTGATCGGCGCTTCTTCGGGGCTGTCAGGGTTCAGTGGAAGCGCCAGGATCAGCGCCAGGCTCCAGCTGGAGCTTGGCGCTGATCCTGGTGCTTCTGCTGAGCCCTGAAGAAGCACCAATCAGCTGGAATGTTGCAGCATCTCCAGGGTTTTGTGATTTACATTCAGATGCTTGGCAACTGATTCATATTTATGACGGTCACAGTGTCCCAGGGTCATGTGAAGTGACCAAAACCTGCTGCAACCACCGAGCAGATGGGGGGAATAAAAACCAAACACCCCCCACTCCACCCCCGCTGCCAATCCTCAACAGAAATGCTCACAACAATGAAAACCTCGGACAGGAGGAAGAGCGCTGCCGGGCAGGCAGGCTGGTGTCTTGCTTGGCTGTGGCTTGAGGGGCACTTTTTTCAGTGCCATTGTAACTTCAAACAGTCACTAAGCAACAGTCACTGTTGTAAGTCGAGGACTACCTGTACTTTATCACTTTTTTCCTTTTTTTTTTGGTCATCAAGTTTTTGACACCTTGCAAGGCGACTGGTGGTACTCAGATATTGCCATATCCTAAAAATGGTATAATGGGTGAAAAGGTTGAAAAACCCTGTCATAAGGATTCCACTTGTAAGTTTCATCTCTTTTGAAGGACTCCTTCTTTAACCTCCTTCAGACGATCGATTATGTGCCATCAGATTGTTGCTTGGTGACCACGTGGATTGATTCTCTCCATGACGATGTGTCCTCCAACCTGGGGACTCTTCCCACGGGGCCTTTATCACTACTGTAACTGAGTCTGTCCTTCCGAAGACTCATCCTCCCTTTCCTCTTTTTTGGATTCCAGGAAATGACGCTCTGCACCAGCTGACATCTTCAGGGGACTACGAGCTACGCGTGGATCTCCGTGCCAGGGATGAGTCCGTCTACGCCACCTATCAGAGCTTCCGTGTGGACCCACCCGCTGACTATTACCGCCTGCATCTGGGCAGTTACCGTGGCACAGCGGGTGAGCAAAGCCCTGGGACTGTGATTGAGTAGGGCAAGGCAGTCTGAAAAGGAGCGTCTCCTGTGCTAAAACCAGCAGGAAAATGAAGCAGCTTAAGAGATTGCTTTCTATATTCTGTTCTGCGTTACCGATCTACCCTCCCCAGCTAATCGTGTTGCTTCTAGTTGTTTCGCATCCGTCTGTATATTCGGCGGTTCGGGGATCATCGCCTCTCCTGTTGTCGCTCTCTTTGCTCTCTTTGGGCGTGACTGGATACACGTTGCTGTAAGCTGGTCCCCCAGTGTTTCCTGTCCTATGGCTGTTTCCCCCCCCCCGGTTGTGTATATGGCACCCCTCCTCCCATCATTGGTTCCTGCGCGGATCACGCTGGGGATTTCTCCCCTTCACCGGTCGTAGTTCTTTGCTGTTGCATGAGCCCACAGTTCTGATCTTGTGTAGGCTGCACCCACTGCACTCGTTTTGAGTTGTTGTGCTGTTGTTCCCACTTCCTTAGTGCCTGATAAGCAGGCAGTAACTCTTATGTGGCGATTAATTGAGTGCTCATCCGATAGCCAAGCCTCCTTCAGCAACCGGCCACCCTTGGTGACATCCTGGATGATTTAGCTCTCTATTTAGGTCTGAGATTTGAACCTGGGCCACTTGCACGTTAGGCAGCTGTATTAACCTCCAGGCCACAGGTTTACCTCACTTCTGTCAGCTGTACAACAAAGGATACATATTAAGTGTTTTCCGGTGAAACCGGTCTAATAGAACACCTGGTCTGCCCAAATATTACTTCCCGGAAAACACTTAATAGCTAAATAGCTCGAAATAGCTATACTAGTCTCCCTTTAACTCTTTGTTGGCAAAATCTAAATTTAACACAGAAATAGTTTATTGCAGTAGCGACTTTAGCCTGTAAACGCTCCTAGATTGAGGATGAAAGGCAAAAGTAATATTTGGGCAGACCAGGTGTTCTATTCTAACACCATATATGTGGTGTTAGAAATATGGGAAGGACTAGAATCCTCAGGCATGGGTTTTAGGAGTGGGGGATGATGGGAACACCATGTCTTGATTTGAATTACCACCACTACGAAGAGCAAAGCTTGAGTTTGGAGATGGGTTCTACATAAGTCCTGACCTTTTTTTCCCTACTGGCCAATCACCCAAGATATGATCACGTGACTTAGGGAGTTGCAGTCATTGTTACTCCAAAAATGAATTGTAAGTAGCTCTGAAGAGGCCCATCGTAACTTTGATCAGTCGTAAATCAAGGACTACCTGGAGCAGAAGAGATTCACATGCCCAGGGAAGAAGAACAGAATAGAACAGAACAGAACAGAGCTGGAAGGGACCTTGGAGGTCTTCTAGTCCAGCCCCCGCTTAAGCAGGAGAACCTATTTATTTATTTATTTATGAGACTTATATACCGCTTTAAGTGCAAGCACTCTCTAAGCGGTATACACAAGTAAGCAATGTATATATATATATTTACATTGCCCCCGACAATCTGGGTCCTCATTTTACCTACCCCGGAAGGATGGAAGGCTGAGTCAACCTTGAGCCGGTGAGATTTGAACCGCTGACCTGCTGAACACAGTCAGCTAAAGTGGCCTGACTGTCTAGCCTCTTCTTAAAAACCTCTAGTGATGGAGCGCCCTCGATTTTTGAAGGCAAGCTGTCCCACTGGTTAACTGTCCTCAGTGTTAGGAAGTTTCTCCTTAATTCCAGGTTGCTTCTCTCTACAATAAGTTTCCAACCACTGTTTCTGGTCCTGCCCTCTGGTGCTTTGGAGAATAACCTGGCCCCCTCGTCTTGAGACGTATTTGTGGGCAGCCAAAAATTCAGGAGGGAGGACTGGCTGTTTTTCACTCTCACTTTCCCATTTTCCTCCCGCCCAGGTGATGCCTTGAGCTACCACTCAGGGAGCGTTTTCTCCACTCGGGACCGGGACCCAAATCGAGTCATCATCCCCTGTGCCATCTCTTACCGTGGGGCATGGTGGTATCGCAACTGCCACTACACCAACCTCAATGGGCTCTACGCTAACAACCGTGATCACCAGGTAATTGGTGGGCAGGTGGGATGGAGCAAAAGACCGCTGTACTTTTTGCGGGGGGGGGAGAGCAAATGATGTAACGGTATGTGGGAAAGACCTTGGAAGACTGAGCCAAAGGAGCCACCAGGAAAAGTTGTAAAATGGGGCAAAATTCTGTTAACAAATGTTTCCCTTAGCCACAGACAGGGGGCTCAATTGCAGTCGTAAGTTGAGGACTCCCTGTATAACACTTCCATCTCAGTTTCTCTTCCTCCAAGTTCATTGATCTTCTTTTTTGCGTGAGGGGAGGGGGAAATCTAGATTTTACAGATTTGGCTTTGTGTTTCTCACGTATCCCCCCCCTCCTTTCTCTCTCTCTCTCTCTCTCTCTCTCCTCCAATTCCAGGGTGTCAACTGGTTTAACTGGAAAGGATTCGAGTTTTCCATTCCTTTCACTGAGATGAAACTGCGGCCTAGCAGCTTCCGCCCGCTGCAGCGGTCGTGAATGGGATGCAGGATAGACTAAGGGAGAAAGCCGCGGAGGGAAAGCAGCGACAACAGCAGAAAATCCCAGCAATGACCCCTTTGCAACAGGATACCTCACATCCGGCCTCTGTTCTGCTTCTCTGGCCCATCCTGAGGGGAAAAAAAAAGGAATGCATAGAAACCAAGGGGGAAAAAAAGACCTTTGGAGACTTGAGAAGACCCACCTCAGTCCAAAGGAAGAGAGATTGTTCAGAAACAGAGTCTGAGAGGAAAAAAGCAATTAATCTGACTACAGGCAGTCCTCCCCCCACTTAGGACCACAGCTGGAACCAAAATCTTTTTATTACCAAGCAAGGTGATTGTTAAGTGGGTCGCAGCCAGTTTTACGACCTTTTTTTTGGGCCATGTTTGTGAAGTGAATGAACGCAGCCACAAGCCGAATCGTGCAGTCGTTAAGCAAATCTGATTCGCCCTGTTGGCTTCGCTTGTGGGAAGGCCGCAAACAGTGATTATAGGAGCCTGGCCCGCTGCGACCGTCATAAATAACATGCCGGTCATGCCTAGCTCCTGAATTTCGATCCCATGACTGTGGTACGAGAACTGGTTGTAAATCACTTTTTGGGGGGCCCTCGTAACTTTTTGAATGGTCATTAAATGAATGGTTGTAATTGGAGGAGCACCTGTGATTTCTTTTTCTTTTTTTTTTAAGGAGAGCTTTCAAGAGAGCAAAGAAATCAGGTTGGCCAGCAAAATTTCGGCCACCAAGACCCGGTGTCCTTCCCTTCCCTTGGTTCCTGGGTCTGGGGCTCCATTAGTTTGCAGCAGGCAAGGCTTGATTCTAACCCAAAGTCTCTCCTCCTTGACTCCTTTTGTTCCTCACCAGCTAAAAACTTTAGACCTTCCCTCTCTGGACTTAGTCTCAGTTCAGACCCTATTTTCTTCCTCCTGCCAATGTTATTCAAAATGGAGTTAAGCTACTTAAACATAAGTAGTTGGTGAGCGCAGCTTGACATAAAAGCACTTTTAACGTGTGTTTGGTTTTTAATTCCTTGGGGAAGCCTTGGGAAGTCAAGGTATAGCTCGTTCTTTCCCCTGTAAGCTTTTTGCTTCTTGCTCCATAGGCTTTTCCATCTAAAGGCAACGGATCACTGAAAGGCAGAGGAACCAAAACTGAGAAAGATTGCAGAGTGGGAAAAGAACTGAAGGAAATTGAAAAGTCCTCAGATTCATTCTTGTCACAATAATAATACCCTGAAAAATCAATAGGCCCGTTTCTTAATTTTGTACACTTCCTCTCTTTTTCTTATACTAGGTTTCAGGGATCAAATAGCACGTAGACTTATATTCCGCTTCATACTGCTTTAAAGCCCTCTCTAAGTGGTTTACAGAGTCAGCATATTCTCCCCAACACTCTGGGTCCTCGTTTTACTAACCTCAGAAGGATGGAAGGCTGAGTCCCCCTTGAGCTGGTCAGAATCAAATTCCTGGCAGTGAGCAGTGAGTTAGCCTGCAATACTGCATTCTAACAACTGGGCCACCAATGCTCTTAAATCAGGATGACTTCTTACTTAAAAACTGAGCTTCTATTTACATAAATGTTTTCAAGAAATTCCGGCACATAGAAGTCTAGCATTTTAAGATGGCAAGGCCAAATCTTTTCTTCTTTGCTCTCAACTTTCTCTAAGGTAGAGGATTTGTTTTAAAAGTCCGGTCCAAATCGAAGTAGACTCTTTCAGAAAAAAAAAAAAAGAGAAATTTCCTGCCTTTTAGCAGTACATAAAACCTTTTGATGGGGCACCTTATAGGGAATAATTGTATTACTAGCTTTAAAATTGTAAGGTGCTTGCTATCCCAGTGATTCTTAAACTGAGGATAGTTACTCCAAAGCTGATAATTTGGGCATATTCTTGGCGTTAATGGAGCAACTTGTAAATACTGTTTGAAAGTTGAGGATCCAGTTTGGAATTGCTACTGCTAAAACACTTGTGCAAAAACAACAGAGTCAGTTTTTGGGGGGGAGGAATAATGACATTATTCAAGATTAGGAAAAGTATTTGGGCCAAACAGTTTTAAGAACCACTGTTCCTTTCCTAACCTGGGTGCCTTTGTGGATTGGACTAAATCCATCCAGAATTAAGAGAAATATAGCTGATATAACTGGAGTTGGAGAAAATCTGGGGCGAGTATTAGGATTAGCCAGAATATGCAGGCTAAAATCAAAGAGGGGCAAATGCAATCCAGTTGTGGGAACGACTCGCCAATTGAGCTGTCTTCTAAGCCAAATGGGGACCAAATATATTTGGTCCATTTCTTGAATCCCTTTAGTGGACCAGACAGGCTTCCTTTGAAAGATTAAAAGAGATCAAAACGAGCATACTTTTTAATGATTAATTTACTAATAAGCTAATACAATCAACAGATTTCGAAGACAGAATTCCCAGATTTGTTTAAACGCCAAATGCCAACAGTCCTGATTGTACCAATAGAAAGAGAATATGTGTAGCTCAGGATGGAGCTGTGGGCTCCTTGGTGCTCTCTGAGCTTGCTTGTTTTCTTGCAGACATTTCGTGACCAAAGGAGGTAACATCAACTAGCACTGATTACCTACAGTAGTTTAGATTACCTAGGTCAGGGGTAGGCAACCTTGGCTCTTTTATGACTCATGGACTTCAACTCCCAGAATTCCTGAGCCAGCCATGATGAGGGGAAAGGGAGAGGTTTCCAAGCTGAGCCATGCTGGCTCAGGAATTCTGGAGCTGAAGTCCACAAGTCATAAAAGAGCCAAGGTTGCCTACCCGTGACCTGGGTCATTACCTAGTTTGGTAAGGAAACATCTGCAAGAAACAACAACAAGCACCAAGAACCACAGAATCCTAATTGTAACCAGACAATGCTAGGATTATAACTTGGAAAATGGGAATGCTGATAAAACCCTAACATTCTATCTCCCGATTTTTTCCTTTTTTCCAAATAGCTTTAACTAATTAGACTTCCCTGCAAATCATCCCAACTAGTCATTACATTACAGAGCGGTTCTTTTTCTTCACTGGAAATGTGGAAATGTTAACGGTTGGTCAAAGAACCAAATGTTTGAACTGAACATGGCATTCTTATCCACCTATCAAGTCCTATCTCAGGTTCTTGGGAAGACGTCAATAGATGGATGAAAAATGCCAGATCAAGTCTAAACATCTGGTTGAGGATGCAACCAGCCGCAATTCCACTGCGATCTGATCATGAAGCACAATTGAAGACGAGTGTTAAGGTGACAATTTCCAAGACAAAAATGCAAGCCTGGTTCCAGGATAGAAATGTTGGAGAGGAAACCAGGATCTGAAGGGGGGAGAGAGAGTTTGACCGGTGATCCAACCTTTAATCTGTCCATCATTCTCCACAAGGCCCAGCTTCACATGGCTCATCCAGCAATTTTTTGGGCTAACATTTATGACTTGGGCAAAGGCTTTTGTTTGAACTGGTTAAAGATGAGGCAAGCAGATTTGTCAATTTGGCTCAACACAATGTGGGAGCAAAGTTGTGTTTCTTTGGGAACTTTGACACCCATCGGGTCAAGCCACCTGATAGTAGAAGCAAGTGGAAGCGTTCCCAAGAAGTTCTTTCTTCTTCTTCTTCTCCTTCTCCTTCTCCTTCTCCTTCTCCTTCTCCTTCTCCTTCTCCTTCTCCTTCTCCTTCTCCTTCTTCTTCTTCTTCTTCTTCTTCTTCTTCTTCTTCTTCTTCTTCTCCTCCTCCTCCTCCTCCTCCTCCTCCTCCTCCTCCTCCTCCTCCTCCTCCTCCTCCTCCTTCTTCTTCTTCCAGGATTATCAAGGGAATGTTGCACTCAGAAAGGGTCTTTACAACTTGAGGCAGGGCAGGATATTTGCACAAACTGGGTGGGAGGGAAAGGCAAGCTGTAAAGTATTGTTTCTTTATGAGGGGGTAGAATAAAACCCTTCTATAAGAGTTATTTTTTAGATCGCGGTGAAAAAAACCTAAAGTTTAAAATAAAAATCAAATATTAAAAAATCGGAGGACCAGTGATGTTCTTCTCCTTTTGTGTGTTTGTTTTTTCAATGGCCACTTAGTCTGGTGGGAAACAACTTAGAATTGGTGGTAGCTTTGCAACTGATCCTTTTGATTCACGTCGAAGGTGGCGAAGTGGAATTGTCCCTAACCCAAATAGGAATTGGGGGACCTCCCCGCGAAAGGGGGTAGATGTGAGGTCACCTAGCAAAACAACCTAGAATTGATTGCTTCGAAGCCCTGTCTAATTATTATCAATAACAAACAGGGGCTGAGTCCAAAGTAGCTAAGATTCTCGGGGGGGTCCCAGTATTATTGTCAGCCCATTCCAACTTTGTCCTGACTCAAATCTATTGTTCTCATGGCTAAGATCTCTTTCCTTTGGCCTTTCTCCACTTCTGAGTTAAAAGGGCTCTCTTCAACCCACCCCATTCCCTGAATCAGCAGAAACTATCCTGGTATAAAATAGACTTTTCCCCACTACTGATCGCTTTTCTCTGGCTTATTGTATCTGTTTGGGTGGGGCTGGCTAGATAACATCTAGAGCAGTGGTTCTCAACCTTTTTAATGCCGTGACCCCCAACCGGTCGTAAGTCGAGGACTACTCAACCGGTTGTAAGTCGAGGACTACTTAACTGGTGCAGCACCGTTTGCAGAATGGGACTTTTGGCGGGCTCAGCAGGGCAGAGACAGCCTTTTGAAAGCCAATAGAATTAGACTCTATTCAAGAGAGTCTATTCTATTGGCTTACAAAAGCCAATAGAATAAAAGGGAGTAGTACAGCTAAGGAAAAGGGGAAAAAAATGGCGGACTGCGTTGTTTGGTGACCCCCGTGAAATGGTCATTCGACCCCAAATGGGGTCCCGACCCACAGGTCGAGAACCACTGATCTAGAGACTGTATTAAGCAAATCAGTTGGCTGCCCTTCCCTTCCTGACCATCATTAGCCGATGGAAAACCATCCTCCAATTGCAACAGGAATGGAGCAGAAGTTGATTCAGGATCTGACTTTGAGAGAGCATGCAATTTAAAACTGCAGACCTCCATTGGTCTGCCGGGTGGACATGCAGAGATCTGAACGTCTGCTACAGGGTCTCCTGCTTGAGCAGAGGGTTGGAGTAGTCGAAGACCTCCGCTGTGCTTCCAACTCCGTGGCCGTTCACCAGGACTTTGTACCAGACTGAGCAGTGAGCCTTAAAAAGGATCAAGTAGGTATAGTGGGCGTTCAGAAGCATCTCTTGCTCCTCTTGGGCTTGTTTTCAGTTTATTTTATTTACGGACCGTCTTAATTTTCAAACAACTCTGGATGACCTAAAAAATATGAGCTGTCTAAAATCAAACATATCAAGCAATAGTAACAATAAGCCACTAGAGCAGTGGTTGTTCAACCTGTGGGTCGGGACCCCATTTGGGGTCGAACGATCATTTCACAGGGGTCGCCAAACAACGCAGTCCGCCATTTTTTCCCCTTTTCCTTAGCTGTGCTACTCCCTTTTATTTTATTGGCTTTTGAAAGCCAATAGAATAGACTCTCTTGAATAGAGTCTAATTCTATTGGCTTTCAAAAGCCAATAGGAATTGTCCAGGCTGTCTCTGCCCTGCTGAGCCCGCCAAAAGTCCCATTCTGCAAACGGTGCTGCACCAGTTGAGTAGTCCTCGACTTACGACCGGTTGAGTAGTCCTTGACTTACAACCGGTTGGGGGTCACGGCATTAAAAAGGTTGAGAACCACTGCACTAGAGGTTCAATGTCACACTGTTGCAAAGCTTGGAACAATAGCCAGGTCATTAACACCTTCCAGAATGTCATCAGGGTGGTAGCCATATGGATCATTTTTTTCATTCCCATGGTACTTGCAAGTGGTTGTTAAAGGAGACTATCAGGACATTATTTTTCTCTCTCTCTCTCTCTCTCTTTTTTGCACTCGTGTCAGAAGCACTGAGGCACTTACGGGTTGAAAGGAATAGCTGGTGACCTCTGGGGAACTGGAGCAAATGATGGAGCTCAAGCCTGCCATACAGCAGCACTCAGGTCTCAAATGTGGGCTTGCTAACCTCCATCCTAGCATCCTAACCACTTGACCCATCATGCTCCTATCAGGACATTGCTAAATGAGGACCTCCCATCATTTAAGCCTATCCTAAAATCCATGCATGACTTTTGTCATGCTTCCGACAGATGAACTTCTTCAAAGAACTTCGAGGCAAGAATCTTTATTTGAGAAGCATAGCATTGGCACTAAACACAGTTGAAGCCAAAAACTGGATTCCCCTCCCCTAAGCACATAGTATCAAAGCATAATTCCCTCCTCCAATTAACAGTCATAAATCACATTCTCCAATTAGTTTGAAATGCAGGCTTTCCCTCCAGTTCTCCAGCCCGCTAATTCTTATCATCCCTTATTTCAATAACCCTGGTTCACACACTAGGTCCAGTATTGTTATGTCTAGCTAAACTCTCATGCGCATTCCTCTCCCCGGCATCATCTAACTCTAACTCTAACTTTAAAAGTAAAACATAAAAAGAAAATGGTTGCATCTCCAACTGTGGTCAAAGCAAAAACATCTGATGTTAGCAGTGTTGACAACTTGGTTACATCAGTGAAAGTCGAGGGCTGCCAAGGGGACTAAGGGAAGGGGAGTAAGGATCTTGATGGCAGTAGCCGAGGGGTAACTCTTTGGCAGTGGTGGGATTCAGCCAGTTCGTACCACTTCGGCAGAACCGGTAACTAATTTTTTGTTGTCCAGGCCCAAAATGGACTTCCAGAAGCGGCATCCACACAGAGAACCGGTTGTTCACATATTTGAATCCCACCACTGCTCTTTGAGTAATGTTTTCAGCAACCAGGAATTTCTTTGATCAATCTTTGTAGTTCTTTGAAGTAACAAAGCGAGTTCTCCAGGAGGACTGTGTAATGTCTGATAAGAACCGGTTCAAACCTGCCAAGGAAAAAGGAATGCCCACAGATTTTTGAACTTTAGTTATTTGCAAACTCATCACAGTGGGGGGAAACAGGGCTCCATAACATGACAGGGAGTGTTAGCAAGATCATACTAAGAAAAGCAGGCGAATGGTTTTTATTTCCTGCCCAGCAAAGGCCTCATTTTTCGGGCTTCGGGGTCCTCACCCGGGGCACCAGCCGCACCAGGAAGGGCTTGCAGTGAATAAGAAATCGGAAAGATCCCTTGAGATCAGGAAGGCATCCGGCTGACATGGGCGAGAGTTGGAAATCTCGCAGGATGTAAGCAAGGAAGAGGAACAACTCCATGCGGGCTAAGGCTTCCCCCAGGCACACCCGGGCCCCACAGCTGAATGGCACCAGATTCCGTCGGGCCTCAACAGAGGCTTCACCCTCCAGGAACCTCTCTGGATAGAAGAAAAGAGACCAGTCAGATTAACAAGGACAGCCAGTTTGGTCTCGTTGTGAGGGCACCAGACTGGAAAGAGGGAGATTGCAAGTTCTAATCCAGCTTTTAGGTATGAAAACCAACTTTAAGCTCAGCCTTCTCTCTAAGGCCAACCCCACTTTACAGGGTTCTTGTGGTGGGGAAAATTAGAGGAGGAAGGAAGGAATGGTGAATGTGTTTGCTACCTTTAGTTATGTCTAAAAATAATAAGGCAGGGATTAATAATAATAATAGTAAAGTTGGAAGGGACCTTGGAGGTCATCTAGTCCAACGCCCTGCTCAGGCAGGAAACCCTATAGCATTTCAGACAAATGGCTATCCAGTCTCTTCTTGAAAACTTCCAGTGTTGGAGCATTCACTGTTTCTGGAAGCAGGTTGTTCAACTGGTTAATTGTTCTAACTGTCAGGAAGTTTCTCCTTAGTTCTAGGTTGCTTTTTTTCTCCTTGCTTAGTTTCCACCCATTGCTTCTTGTCCTGCCTTCAGGCACTTTGGAAAATAGCTTGACTCCCTCTTCTTTGTGGCAGCCCCTGAGATACAGGAACACTGCTATTATGTCCCCCCTCGTCCTTCTCTTTATTAAACTAGAATAAATGAATAAATGAATGAATGAATGAACGAATAAACAAATAAATAATGTAAAATTAAATAAAACTAGGAAGGAAAGAAATCCCATATCTTAAAAGTTTTTATAACTGGAAAATACTGGGTTAGAGGCTTGGATGGGGCAAAATAAATAAATAAATATGGCACAAATAAGCCACACATTCCATTCAAAAATGCTTAGCTGAAATCAACAGATTAATATAAAATCCTTAGTATGATGGGTAACACCCAACTTTTCTTTCTTTGACCTGTCTCTCACCATTTGCACATCCAAAATCTCTTCCCCAAGCATTCTCTCTTTCTTTATAGTTGCGCTAAGCTAGGGTTTTCTGAAGCATACTTTATTGATTAGTGCACAATAAGCTGCGCTGACGCAACACACTCAGCCAGTTATCCCAAAGGTGCTTTTTCACGAGGCAACTGGACTTTCTTGTTTTTCTTTGAAGACGTTTCGCTTCTCATCCAAGAAGCTTCTTCAGCTCTGACTGGACGGTGGGGAAGTCAGAGCTGAAGAAGCTTCTTGGATGACAAGTGAAATGCCCTCAAAGAAAAACAAGAAAGTCCAGTTGCGTCGTGAAAAAGCCCCTAAGTCATGTTTCTCAACCTTAGCAACTTTAAAACAGGTGGTCTTCAATAATACTGGCTGTGGACTTCTGGGAGTTGAAGTCCACTCGTCTTAAAATTGCAAAGGTTGAGAAATACTGCACTAAGCCAAAACTAAGCAAACTTTATCGTGACTTAGTGTGAGGTAGGAACTCAGTTGCTCTCTCTCTCTCTCTCTCTCAACAATGGCAAAGAGGAGTACCTGGCCTAAACTCCAGAGGACGGTGCCACTTGGTCTCATCATGATGGGCCCCATAGAGGTTGGGAATGACCGTTGTGCCCTTCGGGATGCAGTAACCAGACAGACTTGGTAGAGGACAGGAAACGGAGACAAAAAAAAGGAGACATTATATCAACAAGGCTTCAGCAATGCAGTTTGATCTCCTTGCTTACC